TTTATCACGGCTCTGGTAGTTTGCTAAGACAATGCTAAGCCATTTTTGTTATAAGAAGTTGTCAAAGTCCTTTTGTAAGGCTTTATAGAAGTAAGAACATTTTTTGGGTTATTTTGGTTTCGAACCTTTTAAGTTTGTTCAGTGGACAAGTATGCTAGGCGGTGTTCAGTACTGGTAACGGGGTTTGCTCTCTGTGCGCTGAAGTTGTTTCCTTAAGTACAGGGCGTGTTCAATAAGAATGCTGCATTTGTGTGTGGGTTTCTCTGTTTACCCTGGGGTACATAAGAGTCTTTCCGTCATAATTATTTCTCAGATCCAGGGTAAGTAACTCCCGTGGTCTACTCCAATTCTGAGTATGCTGCGGACGTTCTGTTATCAGTCGTTTGAAGTTGCTCCCTCCTGGTCGGGAACTCCGTCTATTTTATTTTTCTCGTCCGGGTTCTTTCTTTGTTGTTGGATCTTTTTTTATTTCCGTTTCCTCTCTCTTGGGAAGAAAGAGAGAGGTCTGGAAAACTACCGAAATTACACCTCTTCCTGAACAAGGCAACCACGGACTTCCTATCAATAACAGACCGATTTCCCTTCTACCTGCATTGTCAAAGGTTTGCGAGAGAATGGCTTATAATCAGTTTGTCACCTATTTGACAAGCAAGAAAAGGCCGGCTAGGCTTACAACAAAACAAAGCGGCAACAAAAAATGGTTCCCTACTGAGACATCTTTAATTCACACAACTGATGCATTTCTCAAAGGAATTGATGATAAGAGATTGACTGCCTGCGTGCTTTTAGATATGAGTAAAGCCTTCGACAAAGTTGACCACCAAATATTGTTACGTAAAATACAACGCGTTGGCGCCTCAACCAGCGCGCTAAAATGGTTTAAAAGCTACCTTACAAATAGATATCAAGTTGTAGGAATTCATAGTTCCTTTTCTGATCCTCTTCCAGTTGAATGTGGTGTTCCTCAAGGCAGCATCCTAGGCCCCCTATTATTTAGCATATACGTAAATGATCTACCAGAAGTTCCAAGACATTGCTCTACAGAATGTTATGTAGATGATACAAAACTGTCTGTTTCTTTTAATTTATACGACTCCCAAAGGATTGTCCAAGAAATGAAGATCTGCTGCCTGTGAGCAACTGGTGCTTCGGAAATCGGCTACTACTAAATCCAGGCAAGACAAAATTAATTGTTTTCGGCAGCCGACAGATGACCTCTAAGCTCCATGAATTTCACTTGTCTTTGTTGGGAAAGGACATTTCGCCAGTGCAATCAGCGAGAGATCTTGGCGTGATTTTGGATCCGAACGTAACATTTGATAACCATATAACGACGTCAGTGTTGCAATGTATCGCACGTCTAGCGCAAATTAACCGGGTAAACATTGCTTAGACAAAAATACGTTGTTAACCGTAATACATGCCTTAGTCTTCAGCAAAATGTACTACTGAAAAAAATGAATTATTTCTTATATACTTCACATCAAAATGTACTACTGTTCGAATGTTTGGGCAAATACCACAAATAAGAATGTTAGAAAATTGCAGGCCGTTCAAAACTTTGCTTGCCGAATCCTCAGCGGTGCGAAAACATATGATCATGTAACACCCCTCTTAAAAAGCCTGTCTTGGTTTCCTGTTAAGGGCCAACTGTACTATCGCCAAGGTATCATGGCCTTCAAATGCATGACCAGTCACGCCCCTGAATATCTTACATCCCAATTTTTTACCTGTGAGCAAGTTAGCGAACGCACAACTCGGAGTAGCCAAAAGCTAAACATCCCTCTTTTCAGAACTGCCTCCGGACAGAGAACTTTTTATTACAGCACTGTCAAGCTTTGGAACAATTTGGAATCTTTTCTTAAGTTAAGCCCATCTGTTAAAAGTTTTAAACGTTCCTTGAGGAGCCAGCTTTTAGATAATTTTGTAAATACTTCTTAGTTAAGTTTGAAACATTGTAATTAGTAATTAGCTAACATTGTAATTAGTATTAGATTAAGTGTTGTAATTAGTTATTATAAATAATGTAATATAATCATTGTTCCTGAAAAGCCCCTTTGGGGAGGTAACAATAATGTATGTTAATATATGTAATTGGTGCTCCCTACTGCGTCGGTGTGCGAATGAAACTGAATCGATAAAGTCAATTTACCACATTAAAGGTTTCAAATAACCTGAAACTATTTTAAAAACAAAGGAATAAGTGGAATGAGTTTTTTTTATTAATATTACTGCGGAAAGTTGGTTTATGTAGCCCTTTAGCTGCCATCTGCGCCTGTATCTGCATCAAAAATTGAACAAGTCCTTTTACATTTGCAAAGAAGGTTTTTTAAAAATGTCTATATTTATGATTTTTTTTTAATGAAAAATTTTAGATGGGAAGCGCGTTGTTAATAACTTAGACACATTTCACCTGTTTAATCTTAAATTTCTATACAAGTTTTCAAATAACTAATGTTGCAACTGACCGAATTAGAAAGCTAATATCATAGGTGAAGAATTACTCTTTAATTTTGGCGCGAAATTTCAGCGTTAATTTGTAATTTCACATGTGAAATTACGAAATTGCCATGGCAACCTTCCGTACGTCTCAGTGTCAATATGGCGACGAAGTTTTAAAATGTCATGAATGAAGATGTCAGGGCACAAAAAAACGCTTTAGAAAACCTGAACACACGAAAGAGCACATCAAGAAGGATTCTAACAGGTATTTTGTGGAAAAACTCTGAACTTAAGCCAAATTTAAGCTCTAAACGTTCGAGAGAGTGCAGGAGTTCTCGATCGATACGATCCAGGATAAACATGTCAAAAATCTAAGATCGCTAACGTAATTCGTCACCCATGATATTAATAGGTAATCAAATGGTATACTCGTGAAATTAGGGAATAATTTCACTTGCGTTTTGTCCAAATCCTAATAATTTCGGGAAATTATAAGGATTTGGACAAAACGCTCATGAAATTATTCCCTAATTTTACTCGTCACCATTTGATTACACATACTAATGCCATGGAAAAAATTATTTTTAAATCGACACTATTATAGCGACTTGCACAGTACACACGTGCCAGCTAAGTTTAAATTTATTAAGGTGGCTGTTGAAACTAGGTAGATTCAGTTTGGTAAAAATTTCATATATCAGCACAGACGAACGAATGGAAGTAACTGGAGACGGAATCCCATTGTACGGAAAACACCGGTTCAGTACTTAGGCCCAGTTCATACGTCTGTAGAAGGCCTAAACGTAATAAACTCCTAAATGTAATAATAACATTTTGTCCTAAATGTAGTAACAATTTGCCAAAAATGTAATAAACTCTGAAGTTGCCAATTACAATAATTACGCGAATAAGTACCACAGCGCTTATTAAATTCCCCAAATGCAGCGCTTATTTGAGTAATAACCGTAATTTGCAACTTAAAGAGTTTATTACATTTAGGAAAAAATGTTATTACATGTAGGGTCGTTTATTACATTTAGGCCTTCTACATGCGTCGTGCTTCTGCCGTGCCGAACTTAATTCTTAAATTAAGTTTCGACATAAGCACGGCAGAAGCACGACGTCTGAGTCAAAGTTTTTAATTTGGTGCGGCAGAACAATTAAGTTCGACAAGGTCTGCCGTGCTACACGACTCTGGCACGGCAGCGATTCAAACGTCGTGCTTATGCCGTGTCGAACCTAATGGATAAATTATGAAATGTATTCTCCCGGGTATCAGCATGCGTATGGAGTCTGTTTTTTACCCCCAAAGCTCCTTTGCGCATGACGGTCAGGAATCAGAAGCGTAAGCACTGGGTTCGAGAATGGTCAATAAAGCAAAGATGACTGCTTTCCGTGCATGTTTGCACGCACCTTCCTCCTTGGCTTGCAATGTTGCAGAGTCCGATAATTCATCAGAAGACGAACTATCTTTTGACGAAAATATCCCACTGGCTGGCTATAAAGAACAAGATGAAGAGGAAGACGAGGAAGCGATCGGAGGTTTTCTCGGAAGAAATAGGAATAGCAGCAATAAAAGAAACTTCCAATAATAACATTCGTCTGACGGTCAAAAGGAAAAGGATTTTCTGCAGCATTTCTTTTCTTCGCCTCCTCTAGTTTTGTATGAGTTTTATTAGTAGCAATTTACGCTGGAGTTTACGGCGCGGCGCCATTTTCTTCACCGCTTACCGTGCTTCTGTCGAACCCAATATTGATGAGGTTCGGCACGGCAGAAGCATGACGTATGAACTGGGCCTTAGATAAGTGAATGAGTTAGAATGACGCTGGTTTTTAGATAAAAGTTAGATCTTCCTGTTTTCCTAATGACGTACGAATACTGAGTGACTAATTAAAGGTTCAAAAGGAACTCTATTAGGGCAAGAATAATTCCATTAATAATAATCTTCATTTTTTATTCAAAATATTTCTCCGTTTCTGATTGGCTTAAATCCCCCGACAAAAATCTTCTATACCAGCTGGACTAGACGAAATCCCATCAAACAAGAGTGGTTATGTAGATAAGCGAACGAGGTAGAATGGCGCTGCTTTTTGAAGAGAGTTAGACAACTTTCCTAAACAGGTAGTTAGATCTTTCTGATTTCTTAATTACCCACGAAAACTTAGTGACTTGACCCCCAACAGTGGCTGCATGGTAATCGAGCTTACTTAATAGAGCTTTTAAAACTCATTAACGGCAAGAATACAAGTAGCACTAATTAAGATTTTAGTCTTCCGCGCAGCGGTTTTTGGCAGAGCGAGTGGGTGAGATCAGAACCGACTCTTAATGTGTTTACCTTTCTTTGGGTGTTTTACATTACACAGTTGACGCTTATCTCCAGTTTGTCATTTCAAGACATTTGGGGTTTCTTAAATTACTTGCACGCTAAAAGATATAAACCCTCTCAGTATTCAAGCATAGCATAAGCAGCTTTTGTGCAAAGGAGCTAAAAGCCTTACGGAGAAGAGTAGCAGACACGGAGACGGTAAATATGAATAACACTACAGGGACTGCATCGATGATCGTGGTATGTAACAATGTGATAAACGTTTCGGGGTTAAAAATTGGGCTAACCATTGGTTATAGTCTGATCCTTGTTCTTTCACTGGCTGGGAATTCTGCCATTGGAGTGATTTTTTATAAAACGTTAATCACGGTGCCTTTGTTCTTAGTAAGATTCTATACGTCTCCTGTTGATCATTGGCTTATTGGCGGCCCTCTTGGCCAAGCTTTGTGCAAGCTTATAGTTTACGTACCAGTGGTTTCCTACGGTGTGTCGTGTCAGAGCTTAGTTCTGATAGCAGTGGATCGCTTTGTAGCCGTGGTGTTCCCACTTCGTTCCACAGTCATTAGTTGCAAATTGTTTCCCTTCGTCATTACCGCCACATGGATCATTGCTTTGGCTTTTTATTCGCCGTGGTTGAACAGCGCGAAAGTAGTCGAAGTAAAAAGGCGCAGTGTCTGTTCGGTGATTGATATTTCTGACGAAATTAAGTCCTGGCAAATTGCCGTAGTCATCACAAATTACATAATTATCATCATCACTATCGTCCTGCTGGTCATTCTGTACTCCATCATCGTCATCAAGCTCAAACTACAGACACGTCCAGGTGAACAGTCGAATAATGCTGAGAAAAAGCGCGCAAAAAGAAACAGGAAAGTGTTAAGAATGGCATGTGCTATCGTGTTAGCATTTTCACTCTGTTGTGTACCCATGCTCACTCTTGGTTTTATGTCCCTCTTTCCCAAGATCATGTCTAGTTGCGGTGTTCCTATATTTGTTTTTATTGCCATATTCATGTATCACGTAAACTGTGCTGTTAACCCGATTATTTGCCTTATTTTTAGCAGTAATTATCGCCAAGGTCTTAAGAGAATTTTGAAATGCTAAGGACAACTAACGTGAATGGACATTATATCAAAACGACTACCATTCAGAACGTTGTCCCAATCCACAGTAACAGTACAGTGAAATTTGACTCAAGTATTAAAGAAAGAAAGAAAGAATGATTTGGAGGTAGCACATCCACGATGTAGTTTTTCGTCTACCTGATTCCTGGTCGAATTGGAATTTCTTGGGACACTTTAACGTTGTATTTAGCCCGCGTCAGATAACTAATAGGTATATGTTAAGATTTAATCAAAAAAGCGCAGCATATAAGCAAACTAGTATATGGAAAGTTGAATAAATTGATATTTCCGTTTGCTTTAATTGTATTCATTTATGCTTAAGAAATAAAAAGTATACTTTGTATCTTTGGATGAACATTATAAAGTTCATTTTGGATTTGCAATTTATAGAATGTTAAAAGATCTAAGAGACTAAACATGAAATCAATGAACTGAAATGAAAAACCTTTCTTTAGTTGTCAATTAATAATCAGTCACTACAGTATGGGCACTAATATTTGGAAACGTATCTTGCCATGTTCAAAGAGTTTGCGTGTGCGTCTAATTGATATCGGCCTTATCAACAACAACAGCACAGCGTGAAAGACACGCTCCTCGTAAGGTGTAGAATCGAGGCGCCTATTGGAGAAAAAAGCTCCCGTGAACGATTTTGGAAGAAGAGTTCCCGGTGCCAAGAAATACGGCTGCAAGTAAAATAGGTAATGGCGTCATCACGTTGCCATGACAACTCCTATGTCATTGCAACCCTGATTATAACAAATTTTCATCTTTATCTAACACAGCTGTGGTAAAAATTTTTGCAAATCTTTGTTAATGGGGACGTAGTTTATGCTCAAACTTGGGAGGTATTGACCCTGAAAAACCCTATCGAGCCACCTTTAAAGGAGTAGTTCTGCGTCGGTGTTTCGAGCGAAATCGACAAAAGAAATTTAGTTTATTAAATGCAACGATAAACACAATTCACTACATAGAGGAATTTAAAACCTTCAGTTATGAACTCTATTTAAAACTTGGCGGCAATTTGAATTTGGGTTAAAAGCATAGGCCTAGGATCAAATATTCATTGTTCTGTTACCTAACCAATCTGACAGTAAAATTCAGTTCCCCCTTTGCCGTTTTACTTTGTTCCCCCTTTGCCGTTCTGTCAGGCAAAAGGTGGTCATTGTAAATTATTCGTATAATAAGTTAATGTTTGTAGTTCTAATTTGTTTTTTATGCCAAATTCAAGACGGGAAGCCACTTGAGCTAATGGATATTTCTATTCATCTTTGAAAAAATTTGAATTTTTAGAAAAAGTAACACGCTTTTCTTATTTCAAAATAATTTATGTTTCACTTGACCACATGAAGACGTACCAGTTGGCATATAGTGGCATAGAGAGCTAACACCGTGGAAAAGCAGCTTGTTTAATAAAACGTCTAGCAATACTACCCAGGAATAGTGACTTTATGAAAGTGTCAAAAGAAATTCAATTGGGCGAGACTTCTTTTACTATTAGTAAGTTCTTTATTCCACTTTATAACTGTTTTTTTTTTCTGTGTACGAGGCAATATTTTTGAGTTCGTGGGATCCACCATCCCAAGTTGCTCCACTTAAGCGTTTACTGTTTTACAGTCCCTTGTGGGTGATGAGTTCATTCGCTCGCCCGCAGCAAAGCAATCACAACAGTGAAAATGAGTTACTTTACTTCGTAGACAACGCAACCGGATGTTAGATTGAGTTGACGCGATTAAAGCGCCTTTTAAAAATAGATTATGAAACAGCCCCTTTTACTTTTTTCCGTGACAATTTGAACGAAAATCACTTTGTCATAGAAAGAGAATGGACAAGCTGCGGTGGTGTAGTAAAAAATTAAGTTTATCAACTGAATCGATAAAACTGTAACGTCACGCACTCAATATAAAAGTTTAATTTAAAACTTTTTTTTGCTTTTTTATTAAAAGTATGGGCCTAAATGGCTGCGCATATCTTTTTTCACTGATACAATTGCATATTCCTATATAAGGAGGCAACTCTCCCTAATAGGCAATCTCGAACAGAGTCTTCTGGCTTTTTGGTCAGCGGGCAACGCCAGGAAAACTCTGGGGACACCAAATCTCGACCGCAGAAGTCATGCGGTTTCGGTTGTTCTGCGCATGCCTTGGTTCTTAAACGGAATTGAAATATTCCAGAACCTGAACATGAGATTTGAAGGAACTTTCTATTTCGGAAACTTGAAACTTAACGATAGACAATGATTCTCAGTGAAATTTTGGAAGAAAAGGTGAAAGACGTAAATTCTAGCCGGTAAGTACTCGTTGTAACATACTACTCTTTGTGACATCTGTCATCCGTTATATTGTGAGTAGAATCGAATCCAAAACGGTCAGTATAAAACATGGACTGCGGACTGGGTATAAGATACGGACAAGGTATTAAACGAGGACTGGAGACTGCGGACTGCGGACTGGGTATAAAATCGGACTACGGACTACTTTGGTAAAAACCGTGCAAATTGGTTCTAGGTAAGGAAAAATAAGATCAAAAGATCGCTAAATAGCAAGACACGTGAGTTAAAGTTGTAAATACTCCTATAAATTCTTGGTGGAGGTGTCCCGCCCAGTTCTCTGAATCATGAGCCGGATCAAAATGCTATTTTCTTCACCCATTTTTAGACCTTGTCTTGGTCTCTAACAGTCATGAAAGGGGTCAGGATCGGGGTTGGTACTCCCTTCTATAATGGAAGGGTGGGGGGTTTGGGCCTTTTTGATCTGAAAACACTTTGCCCATTTTGGTGTGGAATCGGGTATGGCTTTCGAGGGAACTACGGGAGCGTGCATGAATGGACGTATTTATCGTTTCAATTCCAAATGAATAAGAACGAAATAGAAATGTGCGAATTCAAAATGCATTTGGAGAATTTTTTTGTTTCCGCTCTAACTTGGTAATGATGACAAAATTTCTGCCTAATTAGACCTAACCTGTTCAAGGCTCTGAGATAAATGGGTCCGCTGAATTGAGAAAGCGAAAACACGAAAATAAAACGGGAGAAAACTGGGGAGTCTCCCCAACTATCTGAGAACCTGGAACAGGCTAAATTAGGCCATGTCCGAAAATGGGTATGATTTTAGAGATCTAGTCTGAAAACGGGTGTGGAAAATGACAATTTTTTAGACTGCAATAAGGTCAGGATTCGGAGAACCGGGCACTACACCCCCACCAAGAATTCCCAGTAGTACCCCCCTCCGGGGATCAGGAGCAGGGTGTAAATCATGTCATCATAATCATCGCTTAGAATATAACGTTTGATGACTCATTTCGGTTATTATTCACGTATGTGATTAATCCCTCGCAAAATACTGCTTTTGTGCATAGCATTGACCTTCTCGTCTGAGTTGTTCATTCAGTCCTCATATTCCCAAGGCTTTATTTTAAACGGAATTGTGGCATCCGATAAGAATTTGCTGATCTGACTAACACCAATACTTTTTTTTTTTAATTCGGTGCTTCTTATTGGTTTAAAACTGCAAATTGAAATCTCTTCAAACTCCTTCTTTTTATAAAACTCAGAGTTTAATTTCAGTTGCCTTGAGTACCGGCATAACCTTCCTTCTCCTTGGGAAGAATAGACTACGTGAGCAGCCAAGGGAATGTTAAAGCTGGGACTACTGTTTTTGCTAGTCCGCTTTCTATTTCTCTCAGTTTTACCTTGTAAAGCTGTTTTTATATACATAGTCCGTAGTCCGCGTTTTATACCTAGTCCATGTTTTATACTCAGTCCGGAGTCCACATTTTATACCTAGTCCGCAGTCCGTGGTCCGCAGTCCGCAGTCCATGTTTTATACTAACCGGAATCCAAAATGCTTTTTTGTGTGGTCTGATCGAAGTCAAGCAAAAAAAAAAACAGCAATTTATTATGTACGGCTCTGATCACATCCTAATTTTCCCTCTTTTCCTTATGTGATCCACCAGAGCATCGACAAGGCCTGCGATATGTTATGCGAGATTGCACCAAGCCAAGAGAACTGCATGGACCGAATTATAAGAAAAATAGACAACACATCCAAGGAGAACAATATTTCTTATGCATGCCTTGCCTTTTACACTGTATATCTAAGCATTTTTTTGTTGTTGTTATTTTAGCAAAGTAGACCCCTTTCACCTGAGACTTTTTGTCTAATAAACTACGTTTTGTTATAACTTTTGTGTTAATAGGAATTGAAAAAATCCCAAACTCTCACTCAGCTCAGGGATCACATATTGCCATTCAGAATAAGTATGTCCAGTGTTTTTGACAGAGACTGTCGAAATACTGATTTGAGAGCAAATATAAATTGGTGATTTCAGTCCTTGAGGAAAGGTGAGGGTATGAGCTCCCTGTGGCAAAGGAGCGTTAATTTTGGACAGACTCCATCAAATCTGCACTACTTTAGAAGAAAAGGCATTAGTTTTATTCTGTCTCTGCGGACATGAGTAAAAATAATAATAATAAAATAAATCTGTAAAAGTCATTTGAAATCAATATTGGCATTCTCTGGGTAGCTTCACACAACATTTAAGGTCTCTGAGTCTCTGACCACAATTACCTTGCAGGCAGACTGTTCAGGCTTTCATTGTTCTTAAGCCGTATAAACTGTGTTTGTAAGTGCTTGTTTGGCTCCCTAGATTAATACATTTTTGTAGATCGTATTGCATGTCTAATTACGCCCCGCAGCTGTTAGCTTCCACTGGACGAAAAAATGGATTTGCACCATATTCATTTCTTCGTCCAGTGTTCTTTATAAAGTAGGAGGGGAGCTCCTTCAAACCATTAACCACTGTATTTATCATTGAAGGTCTTGCTTCCATCCTTCTTTGCTTGCTGGCAGCCTATAGGTTAGTCGCATGATTGTCCCAGGTGTACGCTTGTGGTAGAGTACGAACCTCGCTGCACTGTGTTGCATCTGTTTGATTTTGTAGTTGTGTTATTGTGACTATGGATCCCATTCACGGTTTGCGTAC